CAGCAGCAGCATGACGGTACCAACAGGACCTCCCTGGTAGACTCCCGGTAAGAAAGAGACCTCTCCTGAAGGCAGGACTCTAGTTATGGGGTAAGGGTCTTCTGGGCTGGGTCTGATGGGGTTACACCTGCAGAATGATGCTCTATAGCTTCTAAACCCAGAATGAGCAGATATTAGGTTAAGACTGCAATATATGTTGATTCATTGAAATAATCTATTTCTGTGTCAAATGATGCCATGTACTGCTTGGTCTTCCTTTCTAAAAACTCCCACCATGTTCACTTCTCTCTCACTCTCTAACTCACATGGGTTACTGGCTGCTGGTATTCTTTCCACTGGCCATTTCATTAGCTGGTTTAAATAAGTAAATTATGTAAAAAGCATCTGATTCTGTAGCCTTGAGCTCTGTGGAACCCTTGAAGGCAGAATTAGACATCAATCCAATTTTTTGAGTGGGTAGAAATGTTTTGCCCTAATGCAGCTAGGACAGGAGCAGGTGGGAGTAGTGATGTTTACCAGGGTGTTGTCATGAATATTGAGGCTGCGTATGATCCTGCAGTGTCATCTTGCTGTATGAGCATGAATGAATGCCTTGACATTAACATGTGCAAAGGGCATTATTTAGCCCTTCAGTGTGTGATAGATCTGCATGCTTCTCTTTGAGGTGTGAGTTAATTGCCATGGGTGCTTGCCCACAACACTCAGCAAAAATTATCGTGTAATCAAGGCACGTGACAATCTACAGGAAGCAAATTATTCTGCTGCAATAACAGTGCTGTGAGCCCAGGCTTTATCAGATGGACTTTTCTCTAATGCTGAGCCCCTGTCGCGCAGGCTGGTTCCCATACGTGAGTGGGGCTGGAAGCACTTCGATGTGACGCAGGCTGTGCATTACTGGCTGCGAAACAAGAGGCGAGAGCCCATGTTCCTGGAGGTCTGGATTGAAGGAGAAAGAGTAGGCAGCTATGCCTCAGAAATGGCCAAAGCCGTGTGTTTCACCTCTCAGGACCCCAAGGATAAAGCCCTAGGCAAGCCGGAATTGGTGCTTTACACCCTTGACTTGAAAGACTATGGGTACGTATGAAACCTAAATCTGTGCTGTCTCCAGTGTAACTTTGGCCCCAAATTATTGTACTGTCTGTGCCCACCCAGGGTGTGCAGCTCTTGCCCTTGCAAGTAAACTGCTATGAATGGAGGAGTTAGAGAGTTGCTGCTGAATCACACACGAAACCCAAGCATGGCCCAAGTTTAACGTCTCAGGACCTGCCTGTGCTATTAGCAGGGGGAATTATTTCTTCCACCTTCCTGGTTTCCAATGATGGCATCAGTTCTTGTTTCTCACTTGGCATGCAGGGGCCCCGGGGACTGCAAGGAGACAGCGGTGACGGGGAAGTCCACCTGCTGCCGGCAGAAACACTACGTCAACTTCCGTGAGCTCGCCTGGGCGCAGTACTGGATCATCGAGCCGGCAGGGTACCAGGCTTACCGGTGCTCAGGGGGCTGCCTGCAGCCCCCCAGCCCACTGTGGCACTTTGGCTACAGGGAGCGCTCCTGTGCTGTGGTGGAGAGCTCCCCGCTGCCCATGATATACCTTGTCAAGAGGGGCAACCGCACCGAGATTGAAGCGGCCGAGTTTCCCAACATGGTTGTTGAGAAGTGTGGCTGCGTCACGGACGGCATGGCGCTGGTGTGAGACACACACAGCCAGCCAGTAATGTCACCCAGCCCTGCCCAGAGCCACCCTGGTCCCCAGGGCCAGCGAGAAAGATCCTGGGGGACCCTGAGATACCCACCTGCAAGGGTCAGCATCAACGGAGGCTGTGGCTCTCCCATGCACCCCACTTCCCTGCAGAGAGGGTGCACTTAAAGACCGTGCAGAGAAGCATCCATCTTCACACATACCTATGTGAGGGGTACCTCTGGAGTCTAATACATCTTGTGGTGTCCTTCATGTTAGCCAAATTTCATTAAATTTGATGGAGCTGTGTCCAATTTATTTCAGTCCCCACCCGAGAGCATTGCAAACAGCTACAGGCAAAGGAGAAGTGATCATCACTGGGTGAAGAAGTAATGTGAGGGCTCAGCTTTTCGTTGTTAGACTCCTGGTTTTGGTCCTTGTCTGTCCAAGTCATGATTATGGTGAACTGGAGAGCAGAAGCACTTACATGTATATATTGTATACACACACACATGTACATATATATAGTATATGAATATATGTATGTATAATATACATACATGTATATGCATATACATACATATATACATGTATATGTATGTATAATGTACATACATGTACATACATAACGTGCATGTTGGATATATACCAACTGTCTACATAGATATGTGTACATAAAATATTGTCTCGAGCTCAAAGGAACATATATATATATGTGCATATATATCGCATATATACGTGTATATAAAATACTGTCTGGAACTCAAAGGATTATATTTTTGGCCCCTGCACCATGGGCTTAGCACAGTTTTAGGCAGATTCTTGAAGTCAGTGGGAGTATTAGGACTTAGGTTTGCTCACACAAGTAACAGTTTATAGAATAAGATCCTCATTTTTCTGGTTGTATATTAGTTATTTCATTTTAAGGATTTTTCCAAGGTTTGCATGCTTTCAAACGCAAGGAAACAATAAAATACAATTATTAAAGTAGCCATGTGTTTGCTTATATTTATTCTTAGGTCTAAAAGTGGAGGAAAAATCCCTTGCATCTTTCTGGACATATCCCAGTGCCCAGCTCTTCTAAACTTACAGTAAGAGCTCCTCTGAGTTACCTGTGTGATCCTGCCCACTTCTGGTAAAGCTCATCTGCTCAGGCAGGGGCTGGGATGGGGCTGAATCAGGAGGTGGAGCAGAGCCCACACCACCAGCACTTCACTTTGAGCAGCTGCAGAGTTTAACCCAACACTTCCTTAAAGAAAAAACGTAGAAACATATCTGATAGGCAAGAGGTGATGCTCTCCGTGTGAGCTGCAGCAGTGCAGTGCCAGAACCTGCAGGCAATCGACTGGAGCTGCAGTGCAGAAAGAGATGAGCTGCCTCCCAGTCCCTCCCTTTCCTGGTGCAGCATTTTAACCTTGACCTTTCTGTATGGACACCTGAACAACACATCTCCTGGGGAAGAGCAATGATAATGTGGTTTAATCCCTTTCTGAACTGTACTGGACTGTTGGCTAGGGTGTCACCAATGACAATGATTTCCATACTTGGTGTCAGATTCATCTCCTTGGTTCATAACCTACTGAGATTCCAGTGGCTCTGGGGATGAAGTGGTTCCTGCTGCATGGTCCCCCGAGACCATGACTGAACCCACTGCTGATGGGAGGACTCTGAAATAAGTTTGTCTGGCTAGAGAGGGTGGTCATGGGCCATGGAGCAGGTGAAAAGAGGGACTCATTGGACTCTGCGGTGGCTTTGAGTTATTCACTGGGAAGGCTGAGATGTCAAGTGTTCCTGCTGCCCTGTAGAACCCCAGGTCTGAGATTACCCAGGCATCCCTGCCATCCCCATGGGGAGGATGACACCTTGCACTTGTGTAAATGTGTGCGGCAAAAGAAGAGCTTTAAGGGGAGAAAAAAAGGCAGAAGTACAGACTCACCAGTGGCCAGCATTGGACTACAGCACTTACTGGAATGGGAACTGCATGAGCCAGATTGATCTCTGCCCATTTCCTTCTCATGACTATGTAGCATCTATCTTAATGGCACTGGCATGCAGCTCCAGCTCCTCTCCACCTCAGGGCAGGGCATAGCCTGAAGGCCATGATCTCAGTGATCACCAAGAGGAACAAAGAAGACGATTTATCTATTCAGGGTTGTGGGGAAGAAAGTGTTTTAACTGGTTCCCGCCAGAGAATGAAGAGCATTAAGCCTGGCTTCCCTTCAGCCTCCAGCTCTTGGGCTCTGGACTTCATCTTCCAGGCCTGTGAGAAATCCCATCCCTTGCAATCAGAGCCAGGCTGCTGCAGGAAGTGGGGAGCAGAGCATCACAGCGGGGATGCAGGGCTGGGACCAGCGAGGTGGACAAAGGCTGAGCTCTCTTCTGCTCCTCTCCACTGGGACCCTGTACTGCATCTGGCTCCTTTTGCTCTGACTTCCTGTGGACACAAGGTACCTAAAAACGTGCCGTGGGTCTGTGCACATGTGTGTGTCAGCTGGGGGAGACAGGGAGAAGGGGGGTGTTGGCCAAGGAGACTTGGTGTTACTGTGGGGACTGCTGTGGGTATTGTGGTGCAGGGGTGGGGTACAAATCTGTCAGCAACCAAGCCCTGCCAGCCCTGCCTCCACCATGGATGCTTATTTATTGCTAGGGGAGCCGCAGAGATGTCACAGCATCTCAGTCCCACTGCCTCTCTACATTCCCCCAAGCCCAGTGCATGGTGCCATCCAGGTCACAAGGCTGGTGATAAGCCCAGAGCAGAGGCCTGGGGAGGAGGTGATTTATAGAAGAGATTTACAGAAGGCTATACACACAGATAGAGCAGCCACCAGGCTGGGCATCACCAGCACCCAAGTCTGGCATCTCACATCCCCATCTCTTCATGCTGACAGTCTGTACCCCCAGTCCCTTCCCAGCAGCTGCACATGGGGTCTTCTGGGCACCTCCTGTATTACCCAGACCCTCCCTACCCAGACTCCACAGCACGACCATCATCTGCTAAAGCAGCTGAAAAATTAATTAAAAATTAACTTGCTGGGGCATTGTCTCACAGTGTGACCAATGCTGTGGCTAGTTTTTAACCCACACTTGGATTGAAACTGCACACTTTTGCTGGGGACAGAAGATTGCTCCTCAAATCCTTCTCTCCATGACAACAGCTCAGGTGACGTGCTCAAACAGCACAAGCACTGCATCCCTGTGTTGTGAGACATGCAACATGTCTCTCTCCTAAGCCTGTGTTTGCAACTCCTGCTGGCTTTGCAGCAAAAATGCAGCAGGCTGAGCAGTCAGGCTGATGTGGGGAAGGCTCTAGAGATTTCTGCAGCACAAACTCCAAGGCATAAGGCTATGGACAAAATATTGCCACACCTGGGGCTTTTTCAGACATCAGCCCCTGCTGTGGGAAATTATCTCCCAGGCTGTCATCTTCAATCCAGGCTGCATTTGCTGTGATACCTTCTGTGTGCTACCTTGCTGCTTTTATATTGGTACAACTTGTAATGCACACAAAGGCTGTCGAGCTGTCATGTTACCTTTTCCATCTGAGCGGCACCACAGTCTCTGAGGAAAGGCAGAACATCTTACGTACCTGGCAGCAACATGGTTCAGCATTAACATTTATGCTCTGCTGTAAAAAAAAAATAAAAGGAAGAGCAGTGCAGTGGCATAATGAACTCCATAGAAGGAGAAGCCATTTCAAAAAATGTAAGGGTTTTTTAAGGCAAAACCAATGTTAAAACATCAAGCATCCCCCTGCACTACTGAAAGCACAGAGCACTTGTGTGGTGCTGAAGGGAAAGGAGGTGTGTGCTGTTCAACAGCCCTGGTAATGCCAGGCTTAAAGTTCAGCTCTTCTGTAAGCGCTCACAGTGTCTGGGCTAAAGCTTCTCACAAGCCTGCACCCTGACCTGCCTTCATGACACTGCTCACAGATGATCTGTGAGGTCCTGCCATGTTTAATGGAGCTGGACATGGGGAAATCTATTGGTCTCACAAAAGCTTTTCATACGAGAGCCTGGGTGGGACAGCAGCACTTCCTCTCTGTTATTATCACATTTTAGGAGAGATAACAAAAGTTTCAGACCATGTTAAATGCGACTGCTAGCTGAGTTATATTGCCCTGCCAGATCCTTCCACAGTTTCATTTGAACCAAGGCTGTTCTTCCATTTCCTTTCAAAATCTACAGTAAGTTGCAGCTTTACCCTGCTGGTGAGACCTTATTTCCTCTCCCTCTCTTTTTCTTTTTCTCTCTGCATTTCACAAACTCCTACCAAGAGTGTCTGACACTTTGCCTTTCAGGGCAGCCTTCTAATTGCTGGTGTAAGTGGAAAGTCAGGTGCCCAATCCACATCCCTCCAAAGGTGATAATCAGGGGAGCTCCTGGCTGTGGCTGGGAACAGCTGGAGTCTGGGAAAGGGGAACCCAGGGCAAACAGAAGGGGGAAGGCAGATATCCTGCAGGACTTTGATATTTTCAGAGGAGCTTCATAACAGCCTCAACATCTCCTAGTTTTTACTATTAATTTAATGTGAAATTAGCTCCTGTGCAAAGTGCTGGATTTGCAGCCAGGACCTGAACTCCTCTGCCCATTCCTGGAGCAGATGCAGGAGAGCAGCCTGCAAAACGTTAGCGCATTTCAGAATAAAGCAGATTAAAAAGCTACTCAAAACTGTTGCCTTCTGGCCTGTACTCCAGGGGTACAAGGGCACTCCAGAGCTGTGTGGATGCTGGGGGGTTTCCAACAGCTAAACCTGCAGGTACAGAATAGCAATGGCAGAAAATAAGAAGTTATTTGGAGATGCTGGGCCCTGGAAAGTCAAGTCGTAAGACTCTCACTCAGCTCTCACTCTCCTTTCTGACAATTGCTGAATCAGGACTTTTTAAAAAAAGCTATTTAGTAGTTTTGTTTTAAAGGTACTCCTGATGTTTATTTGCATTTTTCTGTTTACATTTTTCCTCCTCCTGATTTTCTCAGTGATGATAAATCCACTCCTTTGAAATTCCAAGTACCTGTATC